GTAGGTAGGAAGTCACCATCACCCGTGTCTTCACATGGTCTTCCCTCTGTACCCATCTGTGTCCGTATTTCTTTTTATTAATAAAGACGCCAGTCGTATCAGATTAGAAGCCATCCTACTGACCCCATTTTAACTTAATTATCTCTTTAAAGATCCTGCCACTAAATACAATCACATTCTAAGGTAGTGGAGGTTAGGGCTTCCATGTGACTGTGTGAGAGGGATATGGTGCAGCCCCAAATGGGGATTTTCATTGACTATGAAAATAAAAAGGGGAAAATGAAAAAATACATCATAAAAATAGCTGGTAAGATCATTGTGTGAGCCATGAAAGAAAAATGATTTGAGAAGCATTTAAAATACTCACATGGGACTTCCCTGGTGGTACAGTGGTTAAGATATTGAACTCCCAATTCACGGGGCATAGTTTTGATGTTGATAGGGTAAATAAGATCCTTCTTGCCACATGGCATGGCCAAAAAAAGAAAAAGGCTCACAAACTTGGCCAAATAGTAGTTAAGTAGTTGAAATTAATTTCTACCTCGCCCCTGACTTAAAACCACAGTACGTTGTTGTTTCCTGTAGCTTGTTGCATTAACTGAGTTGTGTGAAAATCTTTTAGAAATTTCCCTCCACACCATAAGGACTCAGTAAGCCATCTTGGTCGCCCTCATTGTTAGCTTGCATTCTAGCACTCACCACTGTCTGCCTTTAATACAGTGGCAACTCATGTGTCTTGTCTCTTCAACAATCCTGAATGCCTAAAAGGCAGAGACTTACTTCCACTTCTTGGTGTCAGGGTACAATGTAGCCACACAGTGTTTGATACTTAGTTTAAGTGCTAAACTAAAGTTAAATTTCAGAGAACAAATAATAAAAAAAAAAAAAGCAAGAGTTTTCCATTTCTTAATTTTTTCCCTTAAAAGCTTGGGCAGCACAAATGCTCTAATATATGCTGAATGAAATACAGATATTTGTTTAAGTATAGAAATAAAATTTATTTATTTATTTATTTGGAGAGAAAAGGAAAAAACTCTTACTGAGGTATTTTAGAGGCTCACACACACACACCCAAAAATGCACAGAGAAGCTAATTTTAAACTCTTGAAGAATTTCAATTTAGTAGTGTTTATAGTAGGTAAAGAAGTAACTGAACCGGACATGGAACAATGGACTGTGAACAATGGATTGAGAAAGGAATCGACACGGCTGTATATGTCACCCTGCTTTATTTAACTTATATGCAGAGTACATCATGCAGAATGCTGGGCTGGATGACTCAAGAGCTGGAATAAAGACTGCCAGGAGAAATATCAGCAAGATATGTCTCAGATATGCAGATTACCACTCTAGTGGCAGAAAGTGAAGAAGAACTACAGAGCCTCTTGATGATGGTGAAAGAGGAGAGTGAAAAAGCTGACTTGAAACTCAACATTCAAAACACTAAGCTCATGGCATCCAGTCCCATCACTTCATGGCAAACAGAAGCAGGAAAAGTGGAAGCAGTGACAGACTTTATTTTCTTGGGCTCCAAAATCACTGCAAATGGTGATGTGGCAACCACGAAATTAAAAGATTCTTGCTCCTTGGAAGAAAAGATATGACAAACCTAGACAGCATATTAAAAAACCGAGACATCACTTGGCCAACAAATGCCCATCTAGTCAATGCTATGGTTTTTCCAGCAGTCATGTACAGTTGTGAGAGCTGGACCTTCAGGAAGGCTGAGGGCTGAAGAATCGATGTCTTCAAATTGTGGTGTTGGAGAAGACTCTTGAGAATCCCTTGGACCGCAAGAAGATCCAACCAGTCAATCCTAAAGGAAACCAACCCGGAATATTCATTGGAAGGACTGATGCTGAAGCTGAAGCTCTACTATTTTGATCACCTGATGCACAGAACCAACTCATTAGAAAGGACCCTGAGGCTGGGAAAGACTGAGGACAGGAGAAGGGAGAGACAGAGGATGAGACGTTATATAGCAACACCGATTCAACGGACATGAATTTGAACAAACTCTGGGAGATGTTGGAGGACAGAGGAGCCTGGCGTGCTGCAATTCATGGGTTCTCAAAGAGTCGAACACAACTTAGCAACTGTACAAAAACAACAACAAAGTGTAAAATGCTTTGAAGATGCAGAGGGATACACGTGCTTTTTTCTGAACTTGGCAAAAAGGAAAAGGCCATTAAATGCTTAAGACCAGGTGGAGTTTGAAAAATAGAAGGGGAAAAAACAACTAAGTCAGCAAAATAAAGTTTTTCAGAAAAATTGATTCTTTTGCTGTCATCTGGAATGAGCAAAACTTCAACTTTAATTAGGGAAAATATAATTTTTAAAACACTAATATCCAACATGTAAATGTATTTGTGTTTGCAGAAATTTAATTAGGGAGGTGTGGAGAATTTTATCATTCTACTTTCTCCTATAAAAATGGGGCATATGTAAACATGGGTTGAATGGAAGTGTTCCGCTTGGCTTGAACACCTCACACTTTTGAGTGTGAGACTGGTATTTTGGTGTGGGCTGTGGGCACTGTATTTATCTTTCTTGTTTTACACTGTTTCCATTGGCGGTGGTGTATTCTGCTTTCCTCGTTTATAGAACTCTATTACAAAAGCTCCGGGTGCAATTTAATAGTCATTTCTGTATTGCTGCTCCATTACTTTATGGTCATATTTAAATTTTTGAAGTAATTCAAAAGCGTTAGCCTGGCATGGTTTGAAGAATTCTGAATTAGGACCTGGCTGGCATTAATGCTCTACTTAGCTATGCATCAGATATAAACAATGGATAAGCCGCTTAATTTCTCTAGTGCTCTATTTTCTTATTTGAAAGAGGAGGAAAATACTATCCATTCTTACTATCTAATGTAGTTGTCATAAGGATCGCATGAGAAAATGTATGCAAAACTGCTGCCTAAATGAAATGGTCTTACCTTGCTCGTAACTGACTTTTGTCAAATTGCCAGCTCCCATACTTCAGATAATATCAGCAAGAGATGCCTGTTTCCTACATATATGGGTCGGAGAAATTGTGGCAAGCAGCTTCTATGACAGAAGTTGGCATATGATAAGACATACACCAGAATTTACAGTTGGAATAATACTCAAAGATACCTACTTAAGTTTCCATGTGAATATGTAAATAAGAAGACTGAAGCCCAGAAATGGTTAATAACCTTCTTAAGATCAGTGTGTTCTGATCATTTATTTAGTACTTACTATGGTTCATGATGCTATTGGAAATAAGATTAGGTAGGGCCTTGCCTCAATCTTTTAGATCAAGGGTCAGCAAACTACCCCTTGGGTCATGGATCAAATTTGGGCCAGCACCTGTTTTGGTAAATAAAATTTTATTGGAACTCAGCTATACATATTTATTTACATACTGTCTGTGGCTGCTTTTGGGTTTCCCTGGTGTCTCAAGTGGTAAAGAATCCTCCTGCCAATGCAGGAGATGTGGGTTTGATTCTTGGGTTGGAAAGATCCCCCAGATAAGGAAATGGCAACCCACTCCAGTATTCTTGCCTGGAAAATCCCATGGACAGAGGAATGGGCTACAGACCATGGGGTCACAAAACAGTCTGACATGACTTAGCAACTAAAAAACAACAATAGCTACTTTCATGCTACAGAAGCAAACTTGAGTTAGTTCCAACAGAGAACTCAAATATTTACTATCTGGCCTTTTACAGAAAATGTGTTGGCCCTCTTTTTAGTATATTATGATTATTTTCTATAAAAGTTCTTTTAGAATATCATAACACACACTTTTGGGGAGAAAGTTCAAGTAGTTCAAAAATGTATGAAGTGAAATGTGAAAGAGAAAAATTTTCATTCATCTTAGATTAAACTTCCTCTGTCACCTTTGGAGCCTAGCACAATTGCCTGGCACAGAGTAAGCGGTCATCAGTAAAAGACTATCAAGGAAAGGAAGAAAGGAAGGAGGTTAAAAGGGAGAAGCAGAAGCAGGAAAGCTAGGTAACAGGCAGAAAGGTCAGATTTGTTAAATATAAGGTCTTCAAGTCCTGAAAAAAAAATCATTATTTTTTTTCCCAGACCTTCACTTTGTTCTAAAACTTGATATTCATTTCTTCATATTCTCAAAGTATCCTGAGCAGGGTAATAGATTTTATCCTCAAATTCCACTTTTTTTCTTTCACTCTAATATTGGAGACATGCTGCAAAGGAAGAGGATTTGGGGAGATGTGTGCTTCTGGGCTATCTGTGTATAAGAAAGCAAATTCCATACAAGTTAACTTCCTTGACAAAAGGAAAATATTTTACTTCCCTCCTTGTAAAGTAAGAAGATATGAACCTCATGGTTTGCACATAGAATGAGCCTTCTGAGACAGAGGACAGCTCTCAGTAAGCAACAGGTTTCCTCGCAATAAACAAGAGCGAGCAGTGGATACTTCTGGAATACTCTCCATCCTTGTTTCCTACAGGAGTATAGGCCAGGGATTGCTTTAACAAGGAAGTGACTACATTGTCTTATTGAAAGATTGTTCTCAGTTCACAATCCATGAATTATCTGCGTAAGCTTCTATCACGTTACCTTTAAAGCAGGCTATTGTAAGACAATGTTAGCCTATGAATTCTCAAAAGAAGTGTGTCATGAGAAAGTAAGCATACGAAGTTCACCTATTTCTTCATTATATTCCTGTTTCTTCCCTTGCCTTTTTCCTGGTGAGGTAACACAACACAGAACCTTCGGCTTATTGATTTAAGCAGAGTCCATCTAGTTCGCGTTGGGATCCTGGGTGGTGAAATGCTTTGAAGACCTCCCATGGATAGAAAACCTTTGCATTATAATCTTATTACACAAGAGGGAAGGTTAGCAGAAGGAGTCCTTTTCCCCCCCTCCTCTTATTTTAGTTTGTCTCCACCACAGAACAATGTGACACGGAATGAAGCGGGTGCTGGTCTCTGTGTGATATTGACTTGGAACTGGCTGTCATCATTGACAAGTCACCGCTTTGTCACCTTGCCTCCTAGATTTTGTCAGCTGCAGCTGGGTGTCTGAGATCACTGTCAGCCTGGTGGAATGTGCCTGCGGCGTTTGCAGGAGGGTTAGTCCACTCAGACAAGATCGCTGCCTGCGGAGTTGCTGTGCTTGCATTCCCTGGATTTGTGAGATTAACAGAGAGCCCTCCAATGTGGGGTGAGGAGGACCTCAAGAATGTCAAGGGAGGAGACAGACCCTCCGTCTATTTGATTGCAAGATTGATGTTACGAAATGACATGTGTATGACCCCTTTATCCACAGCTTTTTATTTCAACCAATATTGTAGCTAGGCTTTCTTCATCTCGGTTTTTGTTTCATTTAAAAAGAAAACAACATTTTATCAAACCCGGAACTCAGTCACCCAGCATCTGTTTACAGTTCACAGAATGACTGAGTATGTGTGAGAAGACAATGGCAGAAACTGGGAGGATTCGTCAGGAGCCACCCGCTTCCTAAACTCTTCTGAGGCTATCTGGTTTCTTCCCGCCTTCATTCCTCTCCTCTTCAGTGTCTCCTTCCCCACAAACAACTTAATTCTTTGTGTGCAAAAGTTTGCCCTTGGTCTCAAGGTTAGTTTTAATACCTAAATATTTTCAACTGCTAGTTCTTCAATAGCCTCCAGGACTCCGTCTGCACTTTTGGTGACTGTGTAACAGGCAGGGCATAAATGATAGGATTAGTTTTCATCTACACTTGCAGCCACAGAGTTTTTTATTTGCTTTAGAGCAGTAGCTCTCAAAATGGAATCTTTTGAAATATTTTACTTATTTGATTAAAACCACTGGATCATATCACAAAACACAACTGAAGGAAAAACCAAGGAGAGGACTTGTAGGGAAAGGAAGGACCAGAGTTCTGTTGGAGGACCAATAAAGGGAATAATAAATATCATTTAAATATCTTATCCATTTTCCTTTCTTACTTAAAAGAAAATCTCAGTAAGCAGGCTAGCCTGTAACATCATTCTTCCAGGCTTCTCTGTTCCTGTTTAACAACATTAAAACCTGTCTGTAAGCCCCCCGCCGGGAGAGGGAAAACATTCCCTTTGCTGACAGGTGGTCTTTTTGCAAGAACTTTCCAATTGAAAACATATGTTCCTGGGTGTGAGGAGGCTTCTGGTAAGTAGGGGGGAAGCTCATGCTAGGAGTGATTGAATTATATAGGCACATTCAAGATAAACATGCTTAGTGTTCCTTCCTTCCAAAATAAAGGTAGAGATTTTGGTATCACATAGAAGCTCTCTATCCTACTCACCTCCAGCTGCAAATTGAAGGTTTTCCTTCACTGTCGTCCAACATAGTTCAGTGTTTACACCTTCTTTCATGTTATTGTTATTGGAAAAGACCCTGATGCTGGGAAAGATTGAAGGCAGGAGGAGAAGGGGATAACAGAGGATGAGATGTTTGGATGGCATTACTGACTTGATAGACATGAGTTTGAGCAAGCTCTGGGAATTGGTGATGGACAGGGAAGCCTGGCATGCTGCAGTCCATGGGGTCACAAAGAGTCAGACTTGACTGAGTGACTGAGCTGAACTGAAGACCCCCTGTTTTTCTTCCTTTTTCTGGGTCTGCCACCAAGACCATTTAAGCTACCAATAACATGGGATTGATCTTCTTAAGAATAAGATCCCTTCCTCAGACCTCAGATTTCTTCACATTTAATGGAAGAGAGAGGAGTTGCAATGAAGAACCAAAAGAATATCCTTTTCATGTTCAAAAGAGGGGGGTAGTTTTTTTTAACAAAGATCTTTTTAAAATGAGAAGTTTGATGCAGGAAGATATGCATCTTATGTGACTGACCATTTGAAAGGAAGTCAATGAGAAAAATTTACAAAAATATCATAATGAAATAAACTTAACAATATATCTTCTACCTAGTGTCAGGCATCTATCATGTGCCTTTCTTTGTCTGAATACATTCTGGTAGACTCAATGTGGCTAATTCTGTTGCATTGCCTGGAATGAAGAAAGAGTAAGTTTGCTTCATAAAAATTTGAATTTAATTGAATTTTGTGAAGTATAAAACCCATAAAGCCATTTTCCTCAATATTCTAAACTTTAAAAGTAATTGAGAATTGTATAGAGGCAATGAAAAACTGCTTAATATGGGGAAATGTTCTTTATTCCAACCCAACAGCATTTTATAAATGAATACAATATCTCCCAGGGGAAAAGAGGAGGTCAGATTGATATTGTTTTAAGCTGTTGGTTATTAGGTTAAGGTTTGCTGGGTGTTCTCAAGTGGCTAAGTGATAAAGAATTCACTTGCCAAGCTGGAGATGCTGGTTCCATCCCTGGGTTGGAAATATCGCTGGAGAAGGACATGGCAACCCTCTCCAGTATTCTTGCCTGGGAAATCCCATGGACAGAGGAGCCTGGTGGGCTACAGCCCACAGGGTGGTGAAGAGTTGGATAGGACTGGAATCAGGGACTGGGCACACACGCATGCATGTATGCATCTGGGTCAGCTTCCAAGTGCTCCCCACATGTCAGTGCTCCATAATGAACATGCTACTGCTTGAAAGCTCAAAGTTTTCTTTACTGGCTCAGGAAAAGTGGTATCACACTTTTTATTTTCCTCAATAACTGATTTTTGTGCATTTTCTATAGAAAGTGAATCTAGCAATATTAAAGGGGATAGGTTACCAGCTTGGAAAATATTGAAAATGAAACAAATTCCTCTGTTTACTTTTAAATAGAAATATCCTACACTGTACTTGCAAACCGTTGGTTTATGAGTGAACTAGTTTATAATGCTCATAGAATTACATGTGCATATTAGCACTCCTAAGAGTTGCTTGAGTAACCCAGATAAAAGGGTCAAGAAAACACTATACTGCCCTTCAGTTATTACAGACTAGTTGGAAACTGGAAAACAAGCTAATTCTGATTTAGGGGGTAAAAAAAACATAATGATATGTTGTTTTTATATAGTGCTTTTCAGACATGACTTCATTATTTATCAAAACATTCTTCTGCGTGTAGGTAGGAAAGGCTTTCTTCAGTTTATAGAGGCATAAACTTGGGCATAAAGAGATTAATTGATTTCTGCTGGGCAGAGAAAATCTCTGCAGAAAGGAAAGAGAGGCCGACCTTCTACAAAGTCCTCAAGAGCCTGCTCTTTCTCCAGTAAATAGAAATCACATCATCATTAACTTTGTAACAACTTCTTAAGCGTCTTTGTCACAACATCAGTGTTAACCATCTCCATGGTACTGATTTAAGAAGATTTGGAGGTTTTGCTTATTTATCGCTTTATGCTAACATACTGCATTCACATAGAACAGTCATTGGCTGGACAGCATTACTTACATAGTAATAGAGAAAAGATGACAATCAGTAATGACACTCTAATCCTAATTCAAGAGTGCACAAAGGGTTCAGCTAAGAGTTGTCATTACTTGCTCCCTGCAAGTACTACTTAAGGCCAGAAAATCACATAATTAGAGGACCTTTCAAAGTCCCTGATTTCAAGAAAACTTCCAAGCATAATTATAATATCCTTATAATATATATATAAAAAAATTGGGATTCCTTGGTGGCTCAGATGGTAAAAGTCTGCCTGCAATGTAGGAGGCCCGGGTTTGAGCCCTGGGTCAGGAATATTCCCTGGAGAAGGAAATGGCAACCCACTCCAATATTCTTTCCTGGAAAATCCCATGGATGGAAGAGCCTGGGGGACTAGAGTTCATAGGGTGGCAAAGAGTCGGACACAACTGAATGACTTCACTTTTTAAAAGAGTATATCTTGGAAATTGCTTTGCTTATGTAGTTTTTCTGGTCTGAACGAAGTAGAATAAGGACACAATCAATTCATATTTTTGAAAGTTCACTTTGGCAATGACATGGAGAACATAGAAGTCAATGAATTAGAAGATAGGGTGATCAGTTAGGAGGTTTTGGTGAAAATCCAGATTTTTAAAAAATGGTGGCACTAATTAGAGTAATGTTATTGGTGATGGGCTTCCTTAGTGGCTCAGATGGTAAAGCATCTGCCTGCAATGCGGGAGACCTGGGCTCAGTCCCTGGGTTGGGAAAATCCCCTGGAGAAGGAAAGGGCAACCCACTTCAGTGCTCTTGCCTGGAAAATTCTGCGGATGGAGGAGCCTGGTAGGTTATAGTCCATGGGGTTGCAAAGAGTCGGACACAACTGAACAATTTAACTTTCTTTCTAGTGGTGATGGAGAGAAGTAGGTAGACATACAAACACTTACTGGATTAAACTGAAATTTGTTTTTGGTTTCTGGAACTGAAAGAAAGGAGTTAAAAATGTCTTCCAGGTTTTGTTTGTTTGCTTTCAATTAAGTGGATACTGATGCCTTTCAGTAAGACTAGGATTAGCAGAGAGTGACAGTTTTAGCCTGGGGAAATGACATGATGAGGCTGAGGTATCTGGGAGATATCTAGGTAAAACCATGGGCAGTTGAATGTATGACTGAGTTCAGCCTCAGTGGGTATCCTTTATGTAATCTTCCATAGTCACTTTAAGGGAAAGTCATGTCTAAATTCTGAATGCCTCTTCACGGCTAAGATTTGAGGAGTTGTCTTGATTTATCTCACAGTGTCTCAATGTATAGTTTAACAAAAATATTACCTAATTTCTTCAGTTACATGTAATCTAAAAACTCAGATTTATAAAGTAGATTTAAAAGTAATGATTTTTTCTGAATTCATAGGATATTTGAGTTTTATCCTTTAATTCTACTTCAGGCAGATATTATCCTCATAGGCACAGACCCAGTCTGTAGAAGGAGATGTCAACCCACTCCAGTATTCTTGCCTGTTAAATCCCATGGGCAGAGGAGCCTTATGAGCTTTAGTCCACAGGGCTGCAAAGAGTCGCATGCAGCTGAGCGACTGACCATGCGTGCATGCACAGACCCAACTTTCTTCCTGAAATTCAGTATTCTCTTGGTATTATGAAATAAGACTTCTGTTTCTGTAAACAGCAATCTTTTGACTGGAGAGATGATTCCTATGCTTTTAAGACCTTTTCATCCAGACTTTGATGAATGATGTACTTTTCAGATATGAATTTATAACATGTCATTCATTCATTCCACAGGCACTATCCTCGGTGCTTTGATTTGTCTGTTTGATAATTCTTCCTTTGGAGACATTATAATCCATGGAGACAACAGTACAGAGATATAGAAAAGATATAGAATAACATGTGAGTGTGTTAGTCGCTTAGTCGTGTCCGACTCTTTGCGACCCCATGGACTGTAGCCCTCCAGGCTCTTCTATCCATGCGATTCTCAGGGCAAGAATGCTGGAGTGGATTGCCATTTTCTTCTCCAAGCATAACATATAGTATAATATTAGTAAATGTTTCTGAGTTATCTGGAGAAAAGTTAAATCTGTGAAGGTGAAAAGGAAACACTTGAGGAGGACGGTTTTCAGTTTTCAGTGAGTCAGGCAGAGGAAGTTTGGTAGGAAGATGAAGTTTGAGACTAGACCTGAAGGAGATGGAGGAGGAAGCTGAGTCACTATGAGGGGGAGGAATGTGCCTGCTGGAGAGGGGCTAGAAAATGCAAGAGCTTTGTGTAGTCATGGCCTCCACAGGAAAGACACCAAAGCGATTAGAGTGAAGTAAACGATAGGGAAAGTTGTAGTAGATGAAGTTGGAAAGGAAAGGAAGCTGGGGTTGCAGACTGTCTGCGCGTTTTGGACCATGATAGGAAGGAATTCATGGAGAGTTTTAGGCCCATGGGTGACATGCTCTGACACGTTCTTAAAGGACCACTGGTTGTTGTGCTAAAAACAAAAGGAAGTCAAGTGTCAAGATAGAAATAGGAAAGTTAGAATGATTCAGGAGAAAATTAATGGGGGTTGTGCTGTGGATGGTTAATTCCAGCAGTCCTGGAATTGGCCTCAACTCTTTGGCTGAAGAGATGTATCTGTGTAAGTGTCACTGTTTAAAAAAAAAAAAAAGGTTGTTTCTAGATGGTTTAAAAAAAAAAGCTTGTATCTAGATGGCACTAACCTTTAGTCAAACCACATGGGAATAAATAACAGTGTAGCACTCAATTCTATTATAGGACTTATAATAAACTATGCCATTCTATCTCTAGGATACTTTTGTTCCAAAATGATATTTCACTTAACTAAAATAAAAGTGTAATAATATCATAAGTTGAAAAACAGAGAAAATGTAGAATATTGACTCAATTTAAGCCAAATATTATTCCCTGTGATTCTGAACCCAATATTAATCCTGGAATTATGTGGATTTAATATGAACTTAAGAAAATAACATCATTTCTAAGCTAAAATGAATTAAAGTTGCCATTAGTTTGCTATCGGCCTTTAATATTCTGCTCTGTGTTTTTACATTTCTTTTGCAGAAAATCTGGGATGACTTTAGCTTAGTTACAAAGTGAGAAACTTTGGAAAGTTTCTAACCTCTATGTAGTAGGGGCTGAATAAATGTTAAATGGACGAATACATACATGAGTGAATGAAGAATAACATGAATGGTTTATGAATAAATACATGAATTTGTAGTATATGTATAATGTAAAAAACACATTATGTAAAGAGAGAGGCAGTCAGGAATCCTTTGTGATTCCTTTTGTTAATAGGAACAACATTGAGACATCCTTGCAGAGTCGTCAGTGCAGTGGGAAAAAGAATCCTCTCTAGAGCAGACTGGTGGATAGAATGCAAGGGTAGATGAGGGGCAAGGTTCACAGCTAACTCAGGTGATTTCAATGAACAATGAGTCTGTGTTTAGGTGCATCCTAGGCCCCAACAGTGAGGACTGAGGTTCAAGTTAGAGCAAAAAGAAGTTGCTCAAGACAGAATGTATCACTCCTAGGTAGAACTGTCTCATCAGAGAAAAGGGTGGAAGTTATTTCTTTCCTTTTCTGAGTCATGAACTCGACCTCCTTCACTCCCCACATACCCCCCAAGGCATCAGTAAATTGAAAGATTTATATAAACTCTCACAAAGAATGTGACTGTTCTCATACGTGTTTTCAGAGAAGCGGTTTCTCCACCCACTCTTCTCCCAAGGTGGTTCCTCAAGCAGGTAGCAAACTGAGGCATGGGATAGAGGCTGAAAAGTCATTTTAGAGAAGCTAACCTCAGAGTGATTTAGGAAATAAAAAGAAAATAATCCCAAGTTCCTGTATCCTAATATATACACCTAGATAGATAGGTAGGTAGATAGATGGATGGATGGATAGATAGACAAAACAAACTATATAGAAAAGGCTTCTAACACTGGGTCTTTTTTTCCTTTTAGACTATTTAAAAAATTCTTTCTACTTCCTTTTTTCTCAGCTTAGTAAATATATGCCAATTCTCACAGAATTTTGCTTTAAAAAAGAAGTGTATACATGCACCCCAATATTCATCGCAGCACTGTTTATAATAGCCAAGACATGGAAGCAACCTAGATGTCCATCAGCAGACGAATGGATAAGGAAGCTGTGATACATATACACCATGAAATATTACTCAGCCATTAAAAAGAATTCATTTGAATCAGTTCTAATGAGATGGATGAAACTGGAGCCCATTATACAGAGTGAAGTAAGCCAGAAAGATAAAGACCAATACAGTATACTAACACATATATATGGAATTTAGAAAGATGGTAATGATAACCTTATATGCAAAACAGAAAAGAGACACAGATGTACAGAACAGACTTTTGGACTCTGTGGGAGAAGGCGAGGGTGGGATGTTTCGAGAGAACAGCATCAAAACATGTACATTATCTAGGGTGAAACAGATCACCAGCCCAGGCTGGATGCATGAGACAAGTGCTCAGGGCTGGTGCACTGGGAAGACCCAGAGGAATCGGGTGGAGAGGGAGGTGGGGGGGTGGATCGGGATGGGGAATACATGTAACTCCATGGCTGATTCATGTCAATGTATGGCAAAAACCACTACAATATTGTAAAGTAATTAGCCTCCAACCAATAAAAATAAATGGAAAAAAAATAAGTGTATATATTAGCATAATTTGGTAGAAATTAATCAAAGAAACCATCCTTTTTAAAGCCAAGCAGCCCCACCACCCACTAGCCCACTAAGCAACGTGAACAAGTGGGGATTTCTCTTCCAATGGTAGTTGGAGAATATTCTTTGATATTCCAAACTGTTGATGGTAGGGCTTGTCTCTTCTGTCAAATAGAATATTTCTGTCATTCCAATGAAAAGAAAAGTAAATTCAGTTTGAAAAGACCGCAGTTTGTTGTTTGTCTTTAGACAATAAACACCCAAGAGTGATGAAATAAATGCAAAGAGAAAAGATGTAGATCAGAAGTTCCTGCAGATCTCCAGTCCAACCAGATGCTCTGAGGAAAGTATATTCTGTGGCAGAGCACATTCCTGCAGGGCTCCATATGCTGTCTTCTCTAGGGGATGCACAAGACTCACTATAATAGGAAAGACCCCCAAATCCTGAAAGAAAGAAATCTATTTAGCTTCTTTTAATGCAATTCTTCTAAAATTGATGAGTCCATAAAGGCTTCTTGAATGTAACACCCCTCAAGATCCTGCAGAGCTAGCATGATTATACCAGACAATGCAAACATACTCAAGCATACACAGAACTAGGCCCAAGGGAAATGGAATCACTCAGAGGTAATCAAAGCATTTGTAGAAAATGTAACCTTTTGAGGCTGAGAGTATGGGAAAAGAAATGATATAAGCTGGGAACCATGTATCACATCACTCCAGGATAGTTGGGATTAGAAAGAATTAAAAAGAAACCAAGAAAGAAGAAACAAAAGCCTAATAATTAAATCCACTAAATTGCATTTTTCATTAATCCTTCTGGTAGTTGTGGACCAAACTTTTCTCGGATGAGGAATATTAAGAGCACAATATTTTTCATTAAACCAGTGCCTTTGAAACTCTGAGATCCACTTGCCTTTGGAAAACCTCACGTTGTTGGGCTTCTAATGGGTCTTGGAAGAGGAGAGTAGAGGTTTTCAAATGCTCATTAAAAGACTACAATGCTTCTTGGACATCAAATTCCTCTAAAAAAACAATAATTTGTTGAATTAAGTGCCAGTGTAACAGATGGATTGTATTTCCCTCATGATGTGCACAAATTAAAAAATTAAAGAGAAAAGGCACTTGGTAAAACCTGCTTTGTATTTTGCTGGACATGATACATTTAGAAAAATGGTTTGAGATGTTTGGCTAAAGCCCAGTGCCACCGGGCCTGCCTGGCTCTAGACACCAGCCCCATTGACTGAAATGTTCTATTAAACGAACAGATGGGTGGTGGTTTGTTACTGACTTTTTCACAAAAGTGAACTATGAAATGTAATGTTTCTAGGAGGATAAAGTACCTGTGCTTCATACTTTTACAAAAGTGGATTGACCATTTTAAGGAAACCTCAGAAATAATACAAGGTGAAGAAATTTTTCTTTTTAAAAAGGCTAATTGTATCAGTATGAGATAATTGAGAATGGGAAAAAGAACTACCTAAAGAAAACAAGTAACTAGAAAAATTGAGACTATAAGTTTTGTGAATAGCTTAAATTTCTGCCACTATGAATATAATTATTGGGATGCTTTTTTTAAAAAATAATATAATCTATGACAAACCTAGACAGTGTGTTAAAAAGCAGAGATACCGTTTGTCAACAAAGGTCTGATAGTCAAATCTATGGTTTTCCCAGTAGTCATGTACAGATGTGAGAGTTGGACCATAAAGAAGGCTGAGCGCTAAAGAACTGATGCCTTTGAAATGTGGTGCTGGAGAGGATTCAAGGATTCCTTGACAGTGAGATCAAACCAGTCAATCCTAAAGGAAATCAACCCGAGTATTCATTGGAAAGACTGATGCTGAAGCTGAAACTCTAATACTTTGACCACCTGATGTGAAGAGCTGAATCACTGGAAAAGACCCTGATTCTGTGAAAGATTGGAGGCAGGAGGAGAAGGGGCTGACAGAGGGTGAGATGCTTGGATGGCATCACTGACTCAATGGACGTGAGTTTGAGTAAACTCTGGGAGATACTGGACAGGGAAGCCTGGTGTGCTGCAGTCTGTGGGGTCACAAGGAGTCGGACAAGACTGAGCAACTGAACTACAGATTTATTATTTATTTGTATGCTTTTCTAATTAGTAAACTTCAATATTTAGATCAGTTTTAGGTTCACAGCAAAACTGAGTGGAAAGTACAGAGAGTTTCCATACATCCTCTGTTCTCTTCTCACACACACACACACACACACACACACACGCATCCCGTACCATCAACATCCCATAACAGAGTGGTAAACTTGCTATAATCAATGAACCTACATTGACATATCACTGACAGTCAAAGTCCATAGTTTACATTAGAGTTCACTCTCTGTATGCTTTTAGCAAGGAGATATCTTGATATTATGGATTATTTACTTGTTAAACAACCAACATTTTTTTTTGCTATGCAAAATATGTTATCAGTGCATATTTGAAAATTAAGGATCCTTAAAGCTTTTGCTTGTTCTGAAAGAAACAATTTATAATCACACATTAATTCATTTGATTTCAAAAAAATAAAATATAAGAGAATGTAAGTTTCACTTATTCATCTCATCACAAGAAGCAAACAAGCCTCATAAATTATCAAATGCTGTTTCTATTTTGCAGTGTAGTAGTGGTATGTTTTACTGGGTATGATCTATTCTTTCTTAAGACTGCCACCTGTGGAAAGACAAACAACATAAAATCAGCTTTATGACAATGTTTTACATAGGTTATTGTAATAGCAAAACTAAACCCATACTCATTTCTAATAAACCTATTTCTACTGTTTCCTTTTCAATATCACTTTGTAACCTTGCATGCACCAACTGTGTGCCTCTTTTTCTTTTACAAGGACTGAGAGATATATTCTGCCTCCAAAGATGGAGTTTCTTTTTCTTGACCTAAGCTGTACCCCATAATCCATTCACTGAGCAGATTAAAATTCCCAAAGAAGAGATTAGAAACACCTAGATCAATTTAGACTCTCAGAGTGTGCTTGGCTAAGGCCTGATGTACACATTTCTGGCACTAACTACGGTCCAGATATATTCCTGAAGAGGGTGACTAGTGCATGAACTTGCCTGGTACCCAAAGAATCACTATTGTACTCAGCAATGCCCAGAACCCCTAGATGTACATGGTTTTCATGAATTAATTGAGCTAGGAATGCATTCATATGGAGCATCTTATCTGGAGTCCAAGCTTTCTATATAAAATAGCATGCATGCATGTGTGTTTAGCGGCTTCAGTCATGTTTGACTCTTTGCCACGCTGTGGATAGTAGTCCACCGGGCTCCTCCGTCTATGGGATTTCCCAGGCAAGCATACTGGATTGGGTTCCATGCCTTCCTCCAGGGTACCTTCCTCACCCAGGGTGAACTCATGTCTCCTGCAGTTCCTACTCTGTGGGCGGATCTTTTACCACATATCATAGCACTTTGAGGACTATTATTTGCTTAGTAGTTCAGTCATGTCTAACTCTTTGTGACCCTGTGGACTGTAGGCTGCCAGGCTCCTCTGTTCATGGACTCTCCAGGCAAGAATATTGGTAGCCATTTCCTTCTCCAGGGGATCTTCCCATCCCAGGGATGGAACTCAGAGCTCCTGCATTGCAGGCAGATTCTTTACAGTCTGAGTCAGTAGGGGATTACTACATTAATCTTCTATTTCCTTTGCACTTCACAGTAAGAATAACTGCTAATAGCTTAGTTTTCACATAAGAGAACACAAATCTACAAAAAGAAAAAATGAAATTCAGCTGCAATCTCCGATTCAATAAAAACTGACCTTCTGTTTTCTTATTTTTCTTTCTTTAATTTGTGCCTTCCCAAATTCATTTTCCCTTATTCTTAAAGCAACTTTCATCTCCAACTTTGACTCAGATATTCACGTTCCTTTTTCTTTGGCCTTGGGTTCCAGGTTTAGAGCAGTTGGTCCAGACTTAGATAATCAAACACCTTAAAGTCTCCCTTCACCTGTCCGTCCCCCCTCATACCTATCCGTCCATAGTGATAATTTGGGACATGTGACCAAAACTTGTTTAAGCTGGATTTTCAGTTGTGCAAACCGATACACATTCTTTCCTGTTTAAGTTGAATTGAACTGGTTTTCTTTTCATTTGAAACAAGCCAAATTAGCCTTGACATACACTTTCAGATATTTTACTGAGGCTACTCATACACAGATTTTTATAATGGAGCTATTTCTATGACTTTAGGTTTTCCGACAACTAAGTCTGAGAACTTTAGTTTGGTGGTTATAATTCAAAGACTCAAAATGAACTTTAATTAACACTGTAATAAGAACTCAAGATTAACTTAAAATTTTTCTTAGTGTAATTGATTTTTCTAGAGTACCTGCAATTTTGGGGTGCTTTCAATAGGTTTGCTGCTTTGATGTACAACACTGCAATGCAAAGAACATTCTTTGCTTTTTTATTTAACACTGTTTTTATTTTCCTCTGTCCTCTTAATTAGTTCTAACATTTGACTGGAATTTATTTAGGATATAACTCACCAATATTAGACTCAATTTCTCATTAAAATAATCTTGGCTTAATTAACAGGACAAATGCGTATGAATTGCAGAAAAACACATGACCTGTTTTAAAAGGTTTTGGACTGAAAATTCACAATTTTTCCTTGATTCTGTATGAGAACCATACTTTCCTACTTTCTGCTTCAACTAGAGGGGTGAACAAGAATTTCTAATCAAGTTATTGTAGGTGTGAAATATGATAATACTCAGAGAGTAGCTTTCTAAAGATTAAGGTTTAAGTAAACATTGAAGAATTTCCAAACCATCCCCTTACTCCTCTCCTTTTATACACCTCACCCATGCTGGAGGGGTAGGATTAGTGACAGAGCCTGGGAAAAGGAGTGAGATGTCATTTTCTGGATTTTTTTTTTAATTTAATATTCATATTA